TCCAGTATCTGAAGTCCTTGGAGGTTTCTTTAATTCTTGGCTGTCTATTGTTTTTCTTTGCTTTTGTTCAAGGTCTCTTGTTTTCTTGCATGTAAATATTTTTGATAATAAGCTCTCATTTCCCTAGGGATTCTCATTCTATTATTATTTGTTCTTTTCTATTTTCTTTGTTTTCTTTTTGTGGTATATTCTAAATAGCCAGGTTTGATCTTTCCATTATGACTAATCTTTATGTACCTTAATTTCCTTTCATATTTTTCATCTGTCTTTTGCTTTATATTCAGAAAAAAATGTTATCAACCTTATATTCTAGACTTCAGCTATTATCTATCATTTCTATTAAATTTAAAAATTTTGTCAACTTTATCTTTGATTCTCAAGTACTCATTTGTTCTATAACTGCTTCTTTTTCATACCAATCTGTTCTTTTTATTTGATGCAAATAATTTCAATTGCTTCTAAAGACTGCAGTCACATTTGAAATTTTTTTCTTCTGTTTCTTGAATTAGGTAGATTTCCTCTGGGTCAGTGTTTTTCTTTGTTGCCCATGGCTATGTATTCACCTCTTTGAATGTGAATTCAAACTGGTTAAAAAGGTACTGGTGTGGATTTTCTGTATTAGTATATTGATCCGTTTTGCTAACATTTGTCTCTCTTGTAGGGAGGGGCTGATTTACAGCTTTTTCTAAATGGACAGAGTATGTTAATTAGAGTTCAAGAGAGAAGAACTCTCAAGACAAGCTGGGAGGCCTGACTGTCCTCTGAACCCCTAGCAAAAATAGGAAGTAGTTTATTCTGGGTGTACAGCATTTTGGTTTATTTCCCTCTTGAGAAAAACTTATTTTTCTTCCACCAACCTTAGATGTTGGAAAAGACTCTTGAGAGTCCCTTGGACCGCAAGGAGATCAAATCAGTCCATCCTAAAGGAAATCAGTCCTGAATATTCATTGGAAGAACTGATGCTGAAGCTGAAACTCCAATATTTTGGCCACCTGATGCAAAGAACTGACTCACTGGAAAAGACCCTGATGGCGGGAAAGATTGAAGGCGGGAGGAGAAGGGGACGACTGAGGATGAGATGGTTGGATGACATCACAGACTTGATGGACATGAGTCTGAGCAAGCTCCAAGAGTTGGTGATGGACAGGGAAGCCTGGCGTGCTGCAGTCCATGGGGTCACAGAGAGTCAGACATGACTGAGTGACTGAACTGAACTGAACTAAATCATAGAAGTCTATTTTTAAGGTTTGGTATTATCTCAGAATCTACTCTGCTTCTCTCTTAGATGCATGCATGTGCGTGTGCTTAGTCACTCAGTTGTGATAGGCTTTTTGTGACCCTACGGACTACAGCCTGCCAGACTACTCTGTTCTCCAGGCAAGAATACTGGGGTGGCTTGCCATGCCCTCCTCCAGGGGATCTTCCTAACCCAGGGATCGAACCCAGGTCTCCTGCATTGCAGGTGGATTCTTTACTGTCTGAGCAGGCAGATTTTTTATTTTCTGCGCCACCAGGGAAGCCCAAGAATCCCTTCTCCAGGGGATCTTCCTGACCCAGGAGTTGAACCAGGGTCTCCTGCATTGCAGGCAGATTCTTTACCAGCTGAGCTACAAGGAAAGTATCTCTCTCTTAGGTACCAGCTCCCAACTAGAAGTTCTAGATAACTGTTCATTTTCTTGGCAAATGTTACTTTTTTTTTGGTACTTTGGTGTCTGGGGGAGGAAAACCAGACTGAAAGCTTCGTATGAAAACCTGCCAAGATGGGAGTGGAGGAGAAAAGGCTGGAAGAACAGCCACGTTCCTATCACGGTCTACAGTCCACACTTCTTCTCTGTTGGGGTTGAGAGGGAATTGAGTCTCTCCTGGAGTGAGCTCCTAAGGACATTCCCATCACCACTATGGCTTGTTCCTGTTTGTTTCATTATTTTCCTTTTTCTGAGCCATCACCTTCCCTGCCCAGGATTATCTAACAGCACAGTCCCATCCACTCTCCATTTTCCATAGAAACTCGGCTGAATTTCTGGTTTGTTAATGAAATCCTTTCCTGTCCTCAGGGATATTATGGATTTCCTTCCTTCACTACCGCTTTTGGTTATTTCAATGCAGATTCAGAAGGGAGGGGAAGAAATGCTTACGCTCAGTCTGACACCCGAACGGGACATTCTCACACCTTTAAGAAACCATAAACATGCATCACCTATTTTAATGTTTAAGTTTCTCAATACTTAATAAGCTGCCATTTTATAATATTAAATTAATTGGTAATCAGCAAGCTTGCTAAAGCAGCTCTCTTTTAAAAGATTTGGATTAAAAAATAATTTTGTTTAATTTTTACACTCTTTTCTCTTAGTATCTATGTAACATAGTTTTCTAATTTCAAAAATAAAAAAAGCACTGACCTAGAGTGGGGAAGATCAGTCCATCAAGACACATTTTGTTTCCCTGAAATTCAGTGTTTTCCTATTTTCTACATACTTAGTGAAGTCATGATTCCCCAAACTGTAATTATTTCAAACCAAATGCAAGAAACAGCACTGGAAATGCTGGTAGGACCAGCTCTGTAAAGTTTCCAGTGTGCTATAATCCACAGAGGACACTCTGATTTTTATTTTTTTCCATTATGATTTCTTACAGGATTTTGAATATAGTTCCCTGTGCTATACAGTAGGATCTGTTGCTTGTCTATTTTATATACATAATAGTATCTGCTAACCCCAAACTTCTAATTTGTTTCCCCCACTTTCTGCTCTGGTAACCGTAAGTTTGTTTTCTATCTCTATAACTGTGGCTCTGTTTTGTAAATAGGTTCATTTGTGTCATATTTTATATTCTACCCATAGGTGACATCATGATATTGCTCCTGTCTGACTTACTTCACTTAGCACGATAAACCCTAGGTTCACCCACATAGCTGCAAATGGCATTATTTCATTTTTTTTTTTTTTGCTGCATAGCATTCCATTTTGTGTGTGTGTATGCACACACTTGTATACATATACATACCACATCACTGATTTTTAAATAATATTTTCTTTTTTTTTTTTAATCGGGGAAGCTTTATTTGAAAAAGAAAAAAGAAAAAACCCTTACCCCTAGAAAAGAGAAAGTCAATGACAAATATCCTTAGATGATGACTTGCCAGAATGTGGCTTATGCCATATCATGCAGGTGCCACTCACAATTCCAAAGAAAGTAGGCGTGCTTACATAATCTCAGTGGTAGGATCAGCAAGTGAATGTTATGCCATGCCAAAAAAACAGGCCAGATGTAAACAAGAATCTTGGACAGGAATTTAATCTCACACTGAAGGGATGGAAGCAACCTTTTTGGGGTCAAGGTTATTGGAGGGAAAGCCTATTGTCTTTGGGACAGAGATCCCTGAATTCGAATCCTGTCACTGTTTTTAAGCCATGTGACCATGGTCTAGGTATTAACTGCAGAATCTCATTATCACCCTGTGCAGAATGGGAATGCAGTGCCTACTTCATACAGCTACTGTCAGCATTAAATGAAAGAGCAAACATAAAGAAGAGACAAAACACAGAAGGGACTGAACAGCTATTTCCTTTGTTCTTCTTTATGTCAAAGACTCCAAGCTGAGAGGAAGTACATTTATTCTATTATATCTGTTGTCTGCTCCTTTTACCCTGAACTGTTTAAGTTGAAATGGAAAGAAATGGTGAGGAAAGCAAAGGCAATTCTGTATGCTCACGTCTTCATATGATGCCGATGCCTGCACACCTCATGAACTTAACCACGCATCTCCTGATTCCTTTCCTTACTATTACATTTATTAATTTCTATGATTTCAAGTCCCTTAGAACTTCACTATTCCCTGGTGCTTGTGCTCACAGCACATTCCAGCAGAGGGTGGGATAATTAATGAGATTGCCCATGCACCGTTATGCCACTATCCCCCTGCCCTGACCTTCCTCTAGCTGTGCATTAAAGTCTAGGGCTTCCTAACGCATTTGTCCCGATGTCTTTTCTCCATAATCTTTCTGCCCTCACAGATGCTCAGTGAGTGAGCCCCAGACACATCTACTGGCTCAGAGTGATTTTCACGTTCAAACATAGCTTTGAAATTTGCAAGCAATGCTCTTTAGCCAACTGGCTGGTCAACAGACTAACAGAGCACAGTCTCTGTGGGTGTGATTACACGACATGGATGGGGTGGCTTATGCATTTTTAATGCTCAAGAAAACATTAATACCAATTAGCCCTGCTGAAGAAGAGAATTAAAACAATACTTCTTGGAATGATATTCTCTGTTTGGTGATGAAGCCCCAGTGTTTTATTAGACACTGGGTTCAATAACGAAATTCCTTCCAGGACACTTTAGTCTGTTTCTCCCCAGAAGAGGGCATGGTTTCTTCGTGGATTCTAAGAACATTTATCATGAGATCTTCTGATTGTTCTCTTTGCCCATCTATTTTCTTTTAACTTAGGTAACTCATTAGTTGCCTTTAAAAATATTTTCCCCTCATACACACAAGAGGCCAACTGTAAGAAAGGATGGTATTCCTTCCTCCTAGGGCTACTTTGAAATTCACCATTTTATATTTTGACCCTTAGTAAAAAGCGTTAGTTGCTCAGCTGTTTCTGACTCTTTACGACCCCATGTACTGTATCCCACCAGGCTCCTCTGCCCAAGGAATTCTCCAGGCAAGAATACAGGAGTAGGCTGCCATTCCCTTCTCCAAGGGATCTTCCTGACCCAGGGATCGAACCTGGGTCTCTTGTATTGCAGGCAGATTCTTTACTCTCTGAGCCACCAGGGAAGTCCATATTTTGGCCCTGCTTCCCTTGAATAAAGATAGAATATTCAAGGACACGATGTACCTTATCCACGTGGGCAGCACTTTAACAATGACTCTCATATTCCCCACTTAATTTTGTCCTAGTGAAGTTCATTTAAACCTATTGTATATTGCATGCATGCCCACTCTTCACCCACTCCCACCCCCACATACGAAGCTACAGAGAGAAGCATTTCTTACTTGGATTATTGTGTCCAGAGGAGGCAAGCTGAGAGTCCTAAAATAAAACAAGAATTATCAATTAATTTTCTTATTTTTTTCATTAGACTTTGTTCTTCATTTCACTAACATTTTAATACTGATTATGTATTGAAACAATACTATTTTGTTTATATGAGATTATAAAAATTACGTGATAAAATTATTTTTACATCTTTATTCTTACAGTTTCAATGTGGCTACTATGAAATAAAAATTATATGTGTTTATATTATATATCTGTTGAACAGCACTGCTTTTGAGGAATAACAGAATGACTGGCTATCTAGTGGAAAAAAATAACTCTGACCTTTATATGAATTAATCTTAAAATCACTCTAATTAAATCATAGATCTAAGTGTAAATACCCAAACTATAAGAGGTCGAGAAAAGTAATCTTTTTATTTTGACTTTCAAAGTGAGATATATTATTGGTCATTCAGAACCTAATCACTGATCATAATCTCTATCAGCTACCATAATGAGAAACACTTATATGCTCCTTAAGCAGTTCTGGTATACAGCTCATAATCACTTCTATGTTGTATTGTGGACTTGTTTTGTTCACTTTAGTGAAATTCTTATAACAAAAAATTAAGCACTTTAAACTGAACAGTTCAGTGGCATTTCGTACAGTCGCCATGTACTAAACCACCATTTCTAATTGCAAAACATTTCTATCATTCCAAAGTCAAATTTCTTACCCATTCACCACTTTCCCCATTTCCCCTCTCCTCAGTACCTGGTAACCAGCAGTATACATCCTGTCTTTATGACTTCTTCTGTTCTGGGTATTTCATATTAATAGAATGATACAATATGTCACATTTTTTTGTCTTGCTTCTTTGATTTAGCATAATGTTTCAGAGGTTCACCCATGTCATAGCATATGTCAATGTTTCATTCCTTTTTATGGCTGAATAATACCCCATTATATGCGTATACACACACACACAACAATTTGTTTATCCATTCATCTGTTAATGGACATGTGGGCAGCTCCCACCTTTTGACTATTGTGAGTAGTGCTGCTAAAAACACATATGCACATGTACTTGTTGAATCCTTCTTTTTCAATCCTTTGAGTATACATCTAGGAGTAAAGTTGCAGGGTCACATGCTAATTCTACATTAAACTCTCTGAGCAGTCACAGTGGCTGAAACGTTTTGAGTTTCTACCAGCAATGTATGAATTTCAATTTCTCCACATCCTCATCAAAGCTTGCTATTTTCTTTTAATTAAAAAAACTTATTATAGGCATTTAAGTGGGTATGTAGTAGTTTCTCATTGTGGTTTTGACTTGCATTTCCCTAATGACAATGATGCTGAACATCTTTTCATATGCTTTTTGGCCATTTGTATACTTCTTTGGAGAAATGTGTATTCAAATACTTTGTCCATTTTCTTGTTTTCAAGAGTATCAAAATTATCTTTATTTTTTCATTGAAGTATAGTTGATTTACAATATTGTATTAGTTTCTGGTGCACAGAAAAATGATACAGTTATATATATACACACACACATATATTCTTTTTTATATTACATTGTCCATTTTTTAATTGGGTTGTTTGCCTTTTTGTTGTTGAGTTAAAAGAGTACTTCATATATTCTGGATACCAAGATTCTTATTAGATAAGTGATATGCAGATATTTCCTCTTCTTCTGTCATTTGTCTTTTCACTTTATTGATAATGTAACACACAAAACTTTTTAATTTTGATGAAGTCCAATTTATCTATTTTATTCTTTCATTGCCCATGCTTTTGGGGTCATCTCTGAGACTCCACTGTTAAATCCAAGGTTGGAAATATTAATCTCTATGCTTCTTCTGTGAGGTTTATGGTTCTAGTTCTTACTCCTGGGATCTACTGTATTAGTGGCTTTTAATCCAACCCCTCAGTCTCACCACCCCTTTCTGCAGATGAGGCTGGCCACCACCCTCAGGGACGTCCCCCTGCACAGCGGCTGCCGGTTTCACACCGGTGGACAGGAGATGATTGCAGCTCTCCACACGCAATGGCATGCAACAGCAGAATGCCAGTGCTATGCAGGGTCTGATTTCAGTTACTGATCAGGCAAGCGGTGAGTGAACCTGATTTTATTTCCACTAAAGTGAAATGCTAAATTCTGTTTTGGGAATTCACACCCTCTTTCCCGGCAAAGGGCTTCCCGCGTGGCTCAGTGGAAAGAATCTGCTTGCCAATGCAGGAGACTCAGGTTCAATTCCTGGGCTGGGAAGAGTCCCTGGGGGAGGAAACGGCAATCCATTCCAGTACTCCTGCCTGGGAAATCCCATGGACAGGAGCCTGGTGGGCTATAGTCCACGGGGTAGCAAAGAGTTGGACACGACCGAGAGACTGAGTACCTTCCTTGCAAGATTCCTATTTAATGTGAATTATAAAAGAGAGTTATAAAACAATGCATTGAGATGGTAGGAATGTAAAAAACCCATACAGTCCAGTGAAACTCATTTACAATTTTAGTGTGTGGGACAAAAATCCAATGAAATGAAGTTAACTTCTATTTTACGGCTTTTTTATTATTTTAAACAGCAGTGAACATTTTATTTATTCTTTATTATTATTTTAATTTTACTCAGACTGGTAGGTGGGGGTTGGGTAAGAAATTTGGATTTCCACTCTACTAAGCAGACTGAGTCATACACAGATGCCTTTAATGTTAGTGTTGATAGAAATGAGCTATTCAGCTGAAGAAAAATAACAAGCTCAACTCTCAACCCAAGCTTCAGCTTTTGGAGACAGTGTATTAAAGATAAAATACGGTTCTTGAGATGATGGGCTAGAATGTAATCCTCAGAAATTATTCTGGCCAATTTGAATAGATTGCTGTTACAAAGAGGACATCCATAGTAAACTTCCCCAAATGGACTGGGATATTTCTCACTCCTTCTAACTAATGTAGAGTTTACATGTGAACATGAATTAGTGTGAGCTCTTATACGTGAAAAATACTTTGAGTCTCATGTAGTTGAGTCCCTTGAGCCACCTGCAGATTTTGGCATTTTGGAGATGTCTTGTACCAGAGTGGTGAAGACTCATTTACTGTCAGATGAAGAAGAATGGTAACTGAGATAGTTTTCAACATTATGACCATTCTTGGGGGAAAAAAACCCAAAAAACAGTACAAATTTTTGTGAAATTGCTTGCTGATGTTATTGGGACATAGATCATTTTATAGCTTGATGCACTGCAGACATCCACAAACCCAGATGATGACTACTGACCACAGGCTTTTGAGACCTGAAAATGAGCTTACAGAGAACCTGAATGGTAATTACACACTGCAAGAACATGTGTTTCATAAGCAGTAAATTTCAAAATTTAATGAACACATCTGTGTCATTAATGATGATAATTTCTGTTTTGCATGGGGGAGTGAAAAGAGGCAGAACATTTTCTGCCCATTTTCCCCCATCCAAAACAGACATTAATGTCATTGGTTTAAAAAAAAAATCACCATCGAAATCTCCTGTCTGGAGAGAAAGAGACTTTTGGAGAGACACAATAAAGACTCTGCCCCTAATGTGTCATCTCACGTCTCTAGCTGACATCCTCTGGATGGTGCACTGACCACAAATGGAGCCTGTGTGCCTAGATTGGACCACTCTATGGGTACAGATGATGCCCCGTTATCCTTCTTACTGATTTGGAGAGTGCATCACTTGTCTGCTGGTGGAAGGTGTAATGAGGCTCCTCCCAAGTTTAGGTCACAGGGCCCTGGCTGCATTCTCATCAGTTCTCTGCTGCCAGCGACAGGGCCCATGGTTGCTGCCTCTTGAAGCAGTGCTGCCCTGCCCAGCCGGCTGCAAGACTGGCGGGTGGAGGCAGGGGCAGAGGGCACAGAATATGCAGATCCTTTATCCCTCACTGAGCCAGAGCCTGGCTGGGCTCAGAGGGAAACCAGCTCCAGACACTGAAGTCCTTTCCATTTTCGTGTCTCCTGCTGCCCAAGTCAGACACTCAGACGCTGTTACAGATATAGCTTCTGTCTCAGAGGCTTCTTCTCTCCCTGTGAACACCATCCCTGGGGAGCTGCCTGGAGAGTGGCTGGCCCCATCTGGGCACTGTCATTTCAGCCTCCTCTGGGAGCATTCCACCAGACCTGCAAGGCTCTCTGTCAGGTCCTCGGGGGTTACAGAAGTGAGGGTACAAAGCCCCTGCCTTCCCCGCCTGGGAGCCCAGTGGGTTAGCAGAGGAGATGATGTGTACACAAGTTCTGATAACCCAGGGCGGAAAGGCACGCCATGACTGCTGTGTGGGATGCTTTGAGTTTTTAGAGCCCGTTCTCGTCCTTGGGTGCGTGTCCTGCCGTCTTCTGTTTTCTGCCTAGAAACTTCATTCTCCCCCCAAGGCTTAGAACAAAGCAGCTCAAGGGTTATCTGTTCTTTGAAATACTCCTGAATCTCAGAAGGACTTATTTGCTTTATGTTTTCACTACACAGTGTCAAACTTCCATTTTAAGAATTGTCTTTTTGACTATGACTCCTGTTTTAAAAATAAAGCTTTATCAAAGTATAAATGACATAACATAAACTGTACATATTTAAGGTATTCAATTAGATAATAAATACATAATAAAAGAATGTTACTACTATTATCTTGACCCAAGGATGGCTCCATCTTATTAAATAGTATTTGCTATTTAAACAACAGCAGTTTCCTAAAGGAAATCAAACCTGAATATTCACTGGAAGGACTGAAACTGAAGCTTCAATACTTTGTCCACCTAATGCAAAGAGCTGATTCATTTGAAAAGACTGAGCGAAGGAGAATTGGGCAACAGAGGATGAGATGATTGGATGGCATCACCAACTCAATGGACATGAGTTTGAGCAACTTCCGGGAGATGGTGAAGGGCAGGGAAGCCTGGTGTGCTGCAGTCCACGGGGTCACAAAGAGTCGGACATGGGTGAGCAACTGAACAACAACAAAAGTAACCATTAAAGAAAATTCAGGAAAACAGGAAAGTATAAGAAAAAGTTTCCTGTATTCCTAT